CCCAGCTAGGGCAATAAGGCAAGAAAGGGAAATCAAAGGTATCCAGATTGGTAAGGAAGAAGTCAAACTATCCCTATTTGCTGATAATATGATACTCTACCTAGAAAACCCAAGAGACTCTGTCAAATATCTAGTGGAACTAATTGAGAGATCTAACATGGTGGCAGGACACAAGATCAACATCCAAAATCAGTTGGATTCCTCTACACCAGTGAAGAGATTGCTGAAAAAGAAATAAGGAAATCAATACCATTTATAATGTTGTTGTTGTGTGCCGTCGAGTTGGCCCCAACTCATAGTGACCCCTCCTTGGGTTTCCAAGGCAGTATCACTACGGAAGTAGATTGCCCCAGCTTCCTTCCGAACCATTTACAACAGATACCAAAAAAATAAAATACTTGGGAATAAATCTTACCAGGGACACAAAAGACCTGTACAAAGAAAACTATAAAAAAACTACTTCAAGAAACCATAACAGATTTACATAAATGGAAGAACGCCCCATGCTTGCGGATAGGAAGACTGAACATTATGAAAACGTCAATTCTACCCAAAGCAATCTATACATTCAATGGAATCCCAATCCAGATCCCATAAACATTCTTTAAGGATATGGAAAAACCAATCACTAACTTTATATGGAAAGGAACAAGACCTCGGATAAGCAAAGCACTATTGAAGAAGACAAACTAGCAAGTCTCACACTGCTGGATCTCAAAACCTATTATACAGCCACAGTAGTCAAAACTGCCTGGTATTGGTTTAATGACAGGTACATAGACCAATGGAATAGAATTGAGAACCCAGAAATAGATCCAACGACCTATGGTCAGCTGATCTTTGACAAAGGGCTGAAATCCATTCAATGGGGAAGAGAATGTTTCTTTAATACATGGTGCTGCAAAAACTAGATATCCATTTGCAGAAAAATGAAACAAGATCTATACCTCACACCACACACATAAACTAACTCCAGATGGATTAAAGATTTAAATGTGAAACCTAAAACTATAGAGTTTCTCAAGGAGAAACTAGGGGCAAATTTAGGAGCCTTAATATATGGGTAGGGAGCTCTGGTAGAGTAGTGTCTAAGGCACTTGACTGCTGACCAGAAGGCTGATGGTTCAAACCCACCAGCCAATCCCCAGAAGAAAGATGGCACAATCTACTTACATAGTGACACTGCCTTGGAAACCCAAGGAGGGGCTATGAGTCAGGTCTGACTCAATGGCACATAACAACAACAACAATATACGGGCATAACGTGGATGAACTTGGAGGACATTATGTTCAGTGAAATAAGTCAATCACAGAAGAACAAATATTGTATTACTCCATTATTGTAAAAGTAAAGGAAAGGTTTATATATGGAAGGAAATTTTCTTTGTTGGTTACCAAGGGTGGGAAGGGAGTGTAGGGTACACTGTTAGATAGGCAGAGATGAATACTGATTTGTGTGAAAAGAAGGGCAATGTACCAAATGTGAGTGAT